GCAGATAAAAGATCATTATTATTAATTGGAAGTTGTTCAATAAGATAATCAACTTTGTTTTCATCATCCAGATATTCATCATATAATGAAGTATCTTTTTGAGGTAGGTCATTATAATCTAATTCAACTAGAAGTATTCCTGTTTTATGCCAACAGTTTTTAATTGTCTCATACGATACTTTATCCTATGCTGATATACAATATTCAATTGCTTCCTTTATATTAACTGGTTCTACCTCGGTTTGATTGTTATGTGCAAATTCATATATGTTCAACCAGTTTTGAATAAGAAGATGTCTGTATTTGGCCTAAAAAAAAAAAAAAAAAAATTAATATACTGTATAGTATGTAATTCTGATTATGTAATATACTAACTTTAAAAGAATTAATAATTCCAGCATCCATCAGTTGAAGATGGGCTGTAGTTTTTGGAGGTAAAGGCTCTATTTTAATATTAGTTAATATTGTATTATTATCAAGAACATGGGTTGGAGCATTATTAATTAAAAGTAGTATGTGGTGATTTTGACGACGCATCATTGAATTCAAGTTATTTATATAGTGATTCCAAATGGATCTCTGCATCCAAGCAGTTTTGTTCCAGAAATATTCAACAGGTAATTTTTTTTTATCAATATTTCGAATTATATATAGATTTTTATATTTATAGATAAACAATGGCTTTAACCTTTCCGATCCTGCTGCATTAGCAGTTAATAAAACTGTAATCTATCTTTTGCTCTTTTTGTTTCTGAAACTGGACCTGTTGCTAAGATATGAGAAGGTTTTATCTGATAGTACAAACTAGTCTCATCACAGTTAAACACATCCTCAAGCCTATAAGGCTGAATAACATTTTGCAATTTAATTTTAAATTCAGGTAGTTTATCTAAGGGAGCACTATCTGCTTCACCCTGCCACTTATATTTATGAATATTATGGCATAACTTAAAATTATGTAACCAACTATTTGAAGTGTTAAACTTATCCTTATTTAGTAATGCTGCAAATTCTCTTGCCTTATTTTAGATAAGATATCCTGTTAAAGTTTGTTTATTGTCTATTACATGTTCTACCCAAAGTGCAACTGCTAATTCAATTTCTATAAAAACTGGTGCTTTGCTTTGCTTATGAGTTGCT